TGTGAGGGGGGTAATATTAAAACACCAACATATATTTGCATACATTTTAGTGCAACAACAATATATATTTAAATACATAAAACTGAAAAATGTGAATGCATTAATGAAGAGTTCTTTTGAAATCGATGAATTATACAAAATTTACAGCCAGCTGTCACCAGTTGATGTTTAATTCACGTGTGCTTTTAAATCCATCTATATGCATGTCAGAGACTAACCTCTTCCTTGTTGTGTCATTTGCTTTTCTCAAATAGCCCAGTTGTTGAAATCACCACTGGTAATTTAAATGCAAACTTTGTTCGGATATCTAGCTAGATATATATTAAACATGATATGGACAAAATGGGAATTATTACTTTAGCTGGAGATAGCTTTGCTTTTCATTGAGGAGTGAAGCTGCCCTACATCACTGCACTTTGAACTCTGCTGGAGTCACAGCTCAGGGGAGGGGGGGATGTGGAAATCTGTACATAATTTTGTCCCTCTTTTGCAGTGTAATATGCCAAGAATTGTCAGATACCCATATCTCCAGGATCATACCCACTGGAACCCTATACAATATGAAAAAAATAATTTTAAAAACAATAGTTGTTAGGGCAGAGGAAGGGATATATATTAAATATTAATCTGTTATGTGTGTCTACTGTTTAATATAAAAGAAATGTTATTGTTTTAATATAATAAATGAAAAGTTACTTTTTTTGGAACTTGTCTTTGTCTTATATAAATTTGTATTCAATTCAAGCATGTTGTTAGTGTGCTAGTTACATCATTATCGGGATTGCTTATGATGTATAGTCAGAATCTAGCAGCATTAAAGGGACACTTCATAACCCCCCCCCAAAAAAAAAAAACAGCTTGCAAAATCTGCATATCTCTTGTTTGAAGTCTTTGCAAGCCATTCCCTTGTTTCCCAGCCCAGACTTTCTGCAGCTTCCAAGTCTTTACAAAGCAGGTGTTCTAAGCTATTGCCTGCCTCTTGAGTTTAGCTCCACTAAGAGAAACAACCAGGAAGTAAAGGACTGTCTGTCTGATTGACAGCCAGGGGTGTAACAAGGCTTATTTATAAAAGTGTCAATTTCTATTAAAATCTACAAATCTATATCCTTCAGGCATAAAGCACTTCAGCAAGCTAAAGTATTTTAGGGGTCGGAAGTGTCTTTTTAATGGAAAAGATCCTTTCAGCTCAAACATGTTTCATTTGTGCTGTAATTTTTATTCTCTGCAGAAATGTGTCTTATATGCTGTAATTTCTGTAATGTATAGTGTCTTTCACCAGCTCTGGATCTGTGGATCTGTTCACCTTGAAAATGGCATAAAAACCTACAGGCTCCAGTTCGTATGTTAACATTTACCAGCAGGTACAAGTTATAGCTGCTGTACTGTACATGGCTAATCTACTACGGCTAATCTGGCTATGGTGATTAATTTAAAGAGGACCTGTCTTGCCCCAAACCATTTGTTTTCTTTAGATAAGGCATGAATTTGTATATATATATATATATATATCTATATATATATATATAGATATATATATATATATATATACAGTGCTAGAAAATGTACAAATTGGGAGAAAAACCTTAATCAATATAAAATAGATATTTCTACCCCTTCTCAGTCACTTCTTTGGCATAGACTCTCTGCCGATGATTTGACTGACCAGGGAGAGCAGAAAAAAGGCGGTCCTTGTGCTCTTCCAAGGAAAGAGACTTCAGCACATTTGACGTGGTTGCTATGGAAGCTTTCTTGCCAATGCTGTAGCCTCTCTAAGCAGAGCAAATCAAAGAAGACATCAGGAGGAGCCAAGGATGCACAGGAGGTGGATGCTCCACAAAGTGTAACACCCACGAAAATTAGAAGATGGTAGAGCTGAAACAGAGGTGAGGAGTATATCTCCATATTTTACATTGAATTGAACATGTATCTTTAAGATTTATTATTATCACCATTTATATAGCGCCAAGAGGTTCTGTAGCACCTTACAATATTATGAGAGGGGGGATTTAACTATAAATAGGACAATTACAAGAAAACTTACAGGAGCAATAGGTTGAAGAGGACCCTGCTCTAACGAGCTTACAGTTTATAGGAGGTTGGGTATAAAACACATTAGGACAGGAAATAGCAATCAAATAAGGTGGGAGTGAAGCAGAGCTGGAGGAAAGCGTAAAGTGCTGCCCTTTAGGAGACAGCAAAAGACAGCTATGTGAGGTAGAGGTTAGTCTGGGAGGCCATAAGCTTTCCTAAAGAGATGGGTTTTAAGGCACTTCTTAAACGATTGAAGACTAGGGGAGAGTCTGATGACTGCAGGCAAGCTATTCCATAGGAAGGGAGCAGCCCGCGAGAAGTCCTGCAAGCGTGAATTGGCCGTACGGATGCGAGCAGCGGACAGGAGAATGGGCAGATCGGAGAGACCAAGAAGGGGCATAACTATGGATCTGTGAAGCGATATGAGGGGCTAGAATTGTTCAGTGCTTGATAGGTATGGGTTAGCACATTGAATTGACTCCTATAGGATACAGGAATCCAATGTAAGGACTGACAGAGGGGGGTGAGGTGTGAGAGGACAGACTAGAGAGGAAAATCAGTCTGGTGGCAGCATTCATTACAGACTGTAGCGGGGCAATACGGCTTTTGGGAAGACCAAGTAGGAGAGGGTTGCAATAATCCATATAGGAAATTACTACAGCATGGACAAGCTCCTTGGTAGCAGCTTGCGTAAGAAAGGGGCGGATGCGGGCTATGTTTTTAAATGGAATCTACAGGATTTGGCAACATGCTGGATGTGAGGCTCAAAGGTGAGGCCAGAATGAAGTATGGCGCCAAAACAGCGCGCTTGCAAGGATGGACTTATGTGGATACCACTAACTTGAAGGGAGAGCGAAAAAGGAGTATCAGTGTTAGGAGGAGGAAAGACAAGGAGCTCAGTTTTAGAGAAATTGGGTTTCAGAAAGCGGGAGGACATCCAGTCAGAGATGGAAGAAAGGCAAGCAGTGACACGTTGCAGGGCGGCAGGGGAAGGGTTCTGGGGAGGAGATATATATCTGGGTGTCATCAGCATACAGGTGGTAGTGGAACCCACATGATAAGTGGAAAACCACAAGAGGATAGAGTCACATAGACCGAGAATATGATGTATTATTCAGTGTATTTGAGGCAATTTAGGTATGTTGTTTTTTTTTGTAAATCATATCGAATATAGTATGCGCATCTTTTCTTTAAAAGATGGAACGTAAAAATGATCTTTGCTGAATTGCTAGATACTGTGTGAATTTGGGAGAGGAGTGACAAATGTTAATCTGTTCTCATGGGAGTTGTTTGAGTTAAATAATTAGATCTTTATTTTTGTTTATTGCTCATTCAACATATGTTATATATAATACATTTAGAAGCAAACATCTATCCACAGTTGACAGAATACAGCGAGCATATACAATATGCTAGGTACAACACGTGGAAAGAGAGTTTAATTTTAAATTAAAGGGATATCACATTCGCAGCTTGTTCCGTGACAGAAAGTTTGTAATAATAGAGACGACTTGGCAAAATGACATATCCTACATTTCTAGTGCTGTGCAATACAATGACATTAAACAACTAGAACAAGGACTTCTAAGTAAGACTACTGGGTGGCAATGCAGATTCAATAAACGAGCAAATAGTGAGGGCTGGGAAACTCTTTGAAAAAAAAACTTAGGCCTACTAAAGTAACCATAGTGCTTGCAAATAAAAAGAAAATGTTCAAATCGATATATCTATATACTCTGCCTACACATCCCCAGATATATCTGTGAGACATTTATCCCTCCCCACCTACTGCAGGCATGCTGGTCGCAAGGGAAATCCAATTCCTATAACTGCTGATTGAGTGGGGGTGTGTCTGTCGATGAACTGATCCAGGCATCTGAATCAGTAACCAAGATAGGTTCCACAGAGCATAAATACTGTGGATAGGGGACCCCCTTGGGTTGTGGGCTGTGTAAATGGGGGTTCCCCTCCATGGCTCGCGGCCTTGGTAGGTGGCAGTGTTTTGCATATAGTTGAGGGGTCAAGGAGTGTCTGCCTTGTCTAGGGCTTATGATCACCTGCTGATCCGGTATAAGGCACGAGAAGTGCTTGGCCATGCAAGATAAAATTGGGTGCCCATTTCTTCAAAAGCTTTGTTAAATGCAGCAGTCATTATTGAATCATAACAAGAATCAGAAATAAAGGAAAGGTCTGAACATGACGCAAGTCTCCATTCCCAATTGCCACAGAGAAAGTTAGGAGTGGGTTCTCCTGCCTAAAAGGACACTCAGGGCACACAAACAACTATAACGGAATTGATATATGCTGTATTTTATTTTTTTTGCATGCTCAAATCTTGATAGTTTAATGCAGAATATTTTTTTTGCCAAATGCAGCTCAAAAATCAGCCTCCTTAGCCACTCTCCAGAAAGAATTCCTTTTCAAATGTATGCGCACTGCTCTTAATCCACAACCTGACTGCAGACAGTCAAAGAAATTAATAGATGCAGATTCAACTTTGTCGCTGTACCATGTACAAATAAGGGCAATGAAACACAGTTGGCCTCTGAACAGATATGCAGCAGTAATTTAAAATACTATTTTTTAAAAGATGTATTTCCAGTGTAAGGTTTACAGTAATACTTGATATCACAATTCGCGAATACGTAAGACTACAATCCTACTACATTGCTACCAAGTACAAGCCTAAGAATACATAGACATTATATAGTGCCACCATATAAAATCCAAACACAACTTATACCCCAAGCTAAGTAAAAATTAAGTGTGCCAACTGCAATTCAGTTAATACAGTTGCAAGAAAAAGTATGTGAACCCTTTGGAATGATATGGATTTCTGCACAAATTGGTCATAAAAAGTGATCTGATCATCATCTAAGTCACAACAATAGACAATTACAGTCTGCTCAAACTAATAACACACAAAGAATGAAATGTTGCCATGTTTTTATTGAACACACCATGTAATCATTCACAGTGCAGGTGGAAAAAGTATGTGAACCCCTAGACTAATGACATCTCCAAGAGCTAATTGGAGTGAGATGTCAGCCAACTGGAGTCCAATCAATAAGATGAGATTGGAGGTGTTGGTTACAGCTGCCCTGCCCTATAAAAAACACACACCAGTTCTGGGTTTGCTTTTCACAAGAAGCATTGCCTGATGTGAATGATGCCTCACACAAAAGAGCTCTCAGAAGACCTACAATTAAGAATTGTTAACTTGCATAAAGCTGGAAAGGGTTATAAAAGTATCTCCAAAAGCCACGGTAAGACAAAGTGTCTACAAATGGAGAAAGTTCAGCACTGCTGCTACTCTCCCTAGGAGTGGCCGTCCTGTAAAGATGACTGCAAGAGCACATTGCAGACTGATCAATGAGGTGAAGAAGAATCCTAGAGTGTCAGCTAAAGACTTACAAAAGTAACTGGCAAATGATAACATCTTTGTTAGTGAATCTACAATACGTAAAACATTAAACGAGAATGGATTTCATGGGAGGATACCACAGAGGAAGCCACTGCTGTCCAAACAAAACATTGCTGCATGTTTACAGTTTGCACAAGAGCACCTGGATGTTCCACAGCAGTATTGGCAAAATATTCTGTGGAAAGATGAAACCAAAGTTGAGTTGTTTGGAAGAAACACACCACACTATGTGTGGCGAAAAACAGGCACAGCACACCAACATCAAAACCTCATCCCAACTGTGAAGTATGGTGGTGGGGGCATCATGGTTTGGGACTGCTTTGCTGCGTCAGGGCTTGGACGGATTGCTATCATCGAAGGAAAAATGAATTCCCAAGTTTATCAATACATTTTGCAGGAGAACTTAAGGCCATCTGTCTACCAGCTGAAGCTCAACAGAAGATGGGTGTTGCAACAGGACAATGACCCAAAGCATAGAAGTAAATCAACAACAGAATGGCTTAAACAGAAGAAAATACGCCTTCTGAAGTGGCCCAGTCAGAGTCCTGACCTCAACCCGATTGAGATGCTGTGGCATGACCTCAAGAAAGCGATTCACACCAGACATCCCAAGAATATTGCTGAACTGAAACAGTTCTGTAAAGAGGAATGGTCAAGAATTACTCCTGACCGTTGTGCACGTCTGATCTGCAACTACAGGAAACGTTTGGTTGAAGTTATTGCTGCCAAAGGAGGTTCAACCAGTTATTAAATCCAAGGGTTCACATACTTTTTCCACCTGCACTGTGAATGTTTACATGGTGTGTTCAATAAAAAGATGGCAACATTTCATTCTTTGTGTGTTATTAGTTTAAGCAGACTGTGATTGTCCATTGTTGTGACTTAGATGATGATCAGATCACATTTTATGACCAATTTGTGCAGAAATCCATATCATTCCAAAGGGTTCACATACTTTTTCTTGAAACTGTACACCAGTGCAATTAAATACCCAATCCTTAATAGTGTAATTTAATCATGTGACATTAAAACTGCTTAATATAAGCCCAAAGCCACATGCAAAAAGGGCAAAATATAAGCACATAAACCATATACATAAAGTGCAAAAAGGACATAAATGTAAGTGCAAGAATGTAAGCACATACAAATGTGCAATATAAAAGAGTGAACACACAAACCATGTGCAAAAATACATATACATATAAAGTGCATGAAGGTGTGGGGCATGATCACCTCGACCATGTACTTCAAGTGCAATGTGAACACCTGATCGTGTCAATAAAAGTGCATAATGCAATAACAGAACAGATTAAAGCACATAATCGTGCATAAGAGTGTGAAAATCAATCACCACGATCATGTGCATAGGTGCAAATGTGAGCACAATATGTGCAATGCCACATACGTAAAGTGTTGTATGTTAAAGGGACACTATAGTCACCAGAATAACTACAGCTTATTGAATTTGTTCTGGTGAATAGAATCATTACCTTCAGGCTTTTTGCTGTAAACACTGTCTTTTCAGAGAAAATGCAGTGTTTACATTACAGTCTAGTGATAACTTCACTGGCCACTCCTCAGATGGCTCTTAGAGGTCCTTTCTGGGTCATGGCTGCCTGAAATGCATCCAAACATTCAGTATCTCCTCCCTCTGCATGCAGACACTGAACTTTCCTCATAGAGATTCATTGATTCAATTCATCTCTATGAGGAGGTGCTTATTGACCAGGGCTGTGTTTGAATCATGCTGGCTCTGCCCCTGATCTGCCTACTTGTCAGTCTCAGCCAATCCTATGGGGAAGCACGATCAAGCCACCACTTCTGATGATGTCAGCAGACAGCTTGTTTTTCTGAGACATGAGGGATCCAGGGGGGCTAGATGGTGGTTTTAACACTATAGGGTCAGGAATACATGTTTGTGTTCCTGACCCTATAGTGATCCTTTAAGCCTACCCGAGTGCATAATATAAACCACTAAGTGCAATTTACCAATCAATAAGCCTAGTGAATAGTCCTGCAAACAAACCAGTATGACTAAAATGTAGGACAATTATATTCTTGATAGTGATATATTTATTAAATGTCCTCTCCTTCCAACGCAGGTCAGTGACAGAGTTGTGTGTATAAATTTGATAAGGAAGTCTTTTTCTGGAGTGAGTGGGTATTCCTAAAGAGGCAGAGTTAAGGTGCAACATTCTGAAAAAACAATAAAGATTTGAGCACGCAAAATAATGGAGCGTGTTAATGAGATTAAACCCCATCAAGTACGTTAAGTTGCACTGGTGCCCAGAGTGTACCTTTGACAGGATTTACAATGTTGGCTAATAGGAAAAAAGATAATGGCAATTGGTGGTGAGAAAGACTTAGAGGGACTCTCTGCAGGTCCCCTCTCCCTCCCACTCCCCATCCCATGTTGCTGGGTCAGGCCCCGCCTACGCTCCTCCCGCTGACGTCATTGAGCATGCGTGGCCGGTGGCGGGGGAGACCTAATGCGAATGCTCGGCAATGACCTCCCCATAGGAAAGCATTGAATAATGCTTTCAATGCTTTCCTATGGGGATTTCAGCGATGCTGGAGGGAGGACGTCCTGCGTCGTTATAGCACACTTTTCAGATTCTGTGAACACGGAAGTGTCCTCTAGTGGCTGTCTAGTAGACAGCTCCTAGAGGAGGACTTAACCCTTTAAGGTAAATATTGCAGTTTATGAAAACTGCAATAATTACACTTGCAGGGTTAAGGGTAGTGGGAGTTGGCACCCAGACCACTCCAATGGGCAGAAGTGGTCTGGGTACCTGGAGTGTCCCTTTAAGAGCAAAATGCAAATGTTGTGATAAAGACCAGACTGTCCAGACTGAAAGCTCATTGTAAAAACTGTCTAGGAGCAGAAAGGTAAGACGTTTTTGGAAGATGATGAAACAGCAGAAATCCCACGTCTCCCGGTAGTTCCGGGAGACTCACGCATGATTAATGCGGCTCCCTGACACCCGCACACCATGTGTATTATCCTGGAAATCATACACACAATCTGACATACAATATATGTCAGAGTATGTGTGTTTTTGATTTCAAGGATATTATACATTTTAAAATGCCCTCAATAGCTTTCCCCCTCCCCCTCCCCCTCCCCCCCCACACCCTTAATGAATACTCACCCCTACAGGTGCCCGGCTCTTTAGGAGCCTGACCAGTTTCTGCCGGCTGGAAGGTCACTTCCTCCCAGCTAAAAAGACCACCGTGTGAGAGGGAGGAGGAGGAGGAGGAGGCGGCAGCAGCACCACCACAGAAAGCATTGAGAAGCTGGAGTGGGCAGCTACATGCTCACTCCCAACAGCACAGTGCTCCCTACTGACAGTCACTCTGAGTAAAGTGCTCTCTCAGTGAGCCCCTCCTTTTAGTCCGGCCTGGTACAGGAAACAGAAGCTTACGATCACGCTACACAGGTAGGAGGCACACAAAGAAAGGGGAGACACCACCAGAGAGAGACCAACATTGGAAGGGGGAGACCACCAGAGAGAGGCCAACATTGGATGGGTGGAGAGGCCACCAGGGGAAGGTGAGGGGGAGAGACCACCAGAGAGAGGTCCACATTGGATGGGGGGAGAGGCCACCAGGGGAGAGGGGGAGACAACCAGGAGAGGGGGGGAGAGGAGAGACCACTAAGGAAGCAGGGGAGAGCACTAAGAGACAGGAGGGGAGGGAAGTTTACTAAGGGACACAAAGAGGGGCTCAGGAGGGAGACGCACAGAGGGACCTGGGGGTGGGAGGGGAAAGACACACAGAGGGCCACAAACCCTCTTTTTCACACTACACACATACACAATGCATCCTTCCACATACACAGAAACACATGATGCATCCTTCCACACACAAACATAAACATACAATGAAAGGAGTATGTGATGTCCTAGCACACCGGAAGCCTACAGTAAGCTGGGTGAGGCAATGTAGCGTCCTGCAGAACTGGTGGGTCCGTACTGAGGGAAAGAGATTTACATTGCGATTGCGATAGCTGCTTCTTGGGCGGCTTCAGTCGGCAACAGGTAATACCTGCAAGCGACATTAAGCTGCTATACCGGCCCTCATCGGCCTTTCCTTACTTGCGGACTCTAAAAAAAAAAAATGAAAGGGGTCCTGTATATCCTGCAGCCCGCGTGGCCCAGAACGCTGGCTGATACTTGAGGAGGCTGACAGAGCACACTGCAAGGAGATATTTTGTGCCTAGGATCATCCCACCTGCTTTCCCTGTGAAGACACACAATGAGATTTGTGAATTATGAAAGTCATGAAAAGCTAAAAGTTATAAAGGCTAACTTCCCTCAAGATATTTAGAGTGCCGCCTGGGTATGAATGTATTTTGTATGAGTGCACCCCTACAATAGTCGTGTGCGGTGTAGCAAGCGGCGTTGTAGGGGAGGGATTCCTGCAGTAGCTGTGTGCGGTGTAGCAAGCGGCATTGTAGGGGAGGAATTCCTGCACTAGCTGTGTGCGGTGCAGCAAGCAGCCTTGCAGGAGGTTTTTTTTCTGCAGTAGCTGTGTGCGGTGTAGCAAGCAGCTTTGCAAGAGGGGGTTTACCTGCAGTGGCCGTGTGCGGTGTAGCAAGCGGCGTTGCAGGGGGGGAATTTCTACAATAGCCGTGTGCGGTGTAGCAAGCGGTATTGTAGAGGGTATCAGGTACGGGGTCTGTGAAGGGTAAATGTGGTTTAACTGTTTATGCTTCTTGGGTTTTTGTTTGCAATAAATGTAAAGTTGTGTCGTGTTTGTCTCCTCCCTCTT